TAACCAAAATAATATGGGCCTCTCTAATGCATACATGTTTACCTTTGTTAGAGGAAGGGTTTGTCTCTCCAGCTTCTCAATCTAAAAACAAGAGCGGTGCAAAGTCTGACAAGAGTTACAGTACTTCTTACGTGAAGGGGAAGCATAATATGGGAACTAGAACATCTCAAAGATCAAATTGTGCTGAGTCATCATTGCCTTATGACGAAGATGACAATGACGATGATGTGCAAGCTAGTGGGGAAAACAATCGTGCAAATGGTGTTTCTCAAAAGTTGTCAACTTCCACCAAAAGCAATGGAAAAGGTACATCTAAGACAATGCTTTCACCACCAGGATTCACGAATGCAGATGTTGAGAACGATGGATCGCCTGGTGGAAGATGCAATCATTCAATTAAAAATTCAGAATCCCAGGTAATTTGGACTCTATGCAACCTTTTGCGCACTGCTTATGAGTGTGAAAAGTGCCTTCACAGTATCAATATATTTTTCGTTGAGTATCCCCCATTAATTATCTACTACCTCCGTCCCGGTGGACTTTGCCAAATGCAAAGTAGATGAAAAATAAAGTGGCAAAATGTTTTGGGACAACCAAAAAGGGAAAGTTGGCAAAGTCCAATGGGACGGAGGGAGTATTATATTCGAGTGTAATTTAGTGTCCAAGTGTGAAATAATCCTAACTTCTACAAGATCTTTTTGGGTTGAGTAGGACCCAATTTAACATGGTATGTAATCCTAGTCTGACAGGTTTTGTGGGTACACTCTCCATTATTGGGGGCTTCCCACTTTGGGTTGATTCGAGCTCATTTGTTGCTCAGCCTAGCTTGGGTTGAGTCCATCTGTTGAGTTTCTCACATTGGTCATCTTCAAAAGGGAGCTGTAGACCTCACCTTTTGAGAATTCTTTTGGGGTTAGGTGCAATTTACCCATTTGTAGGGACATGTTTTGAACTTGGTAAATATGCATGAAAAGTTAGAAGTATGAAACTGTTTGCTTCAATGGTCATATTTTATTCAAAGTCAAAACTTTTCTCATTAACTTATTAATTTTTTTCCTTCAGTAACAGTGGTTCTTAATTGATTCCCAATCAAAATTAGGTGTTCTCAAATTGTTCCCAGATTAATGCTATACATCTTTTGTTGTCTGACAGTGTGATACTGGTAATGCAAATGGAACTTTGCAGTCAGATAAGTTATTGGAGACCATAGATCAATTGAAAAGAGAGAACTCTGACCTTAAAAAAAGGTACAAAGCTTTGCTTGCCACTATTTCTTTCCTCTGGTAGACTGGTAGTATACCAGATTTCCTTGTAGGTTGCGGTTTTAATCTCATTTCCTTCAATAGGCTGAAAAAGAGTGAGGAAGAGATTTTAGGTGATTTGCTGCATGATTTACAGAATGAAAGAGAGAAAAGTGAATCTCTTGAAGCTCAGGTATGTCTCTTTTCACTCTTTTCATGAATTTTGCTTCCAGTTCAAACCTTTTCCTTACATGTATGGCTTCACTAGTTATGATTGCATATCCTTGAGTTGGGCCAATTTAGCCGTTTTGGTCTTGATTAACCATTTCTCCAGTCTTTGTAATTGCATCTATTTACCCCCATTTAACTCCTATCCTCCATCTATTTTATGTCAACCATTTGCTAAATTGGAATTCAGATCCAATAAAGTCAACTTCACTTGAAATTACACTTCCACAAGTCCACGTGAAGTTAACTCAGCTGTGATGCCTACAATTTTATACATTAACCAAAAACATTTGTGTGTGCCGATGATGACAAGAGATATAAAGCAATTAGCTCACGGGACTACATTACATTTCGGAGGACCTAAAATGCAATGAAGTGAAAACCATATTTGTAAAGATAAATAATCTATTAAGTGACAAAAACGACAGGTCACACAATTAAAAAACTAAAGACGCAGTCAACCCTTTTACATGTGTGATGTGTGTATTACTTATATAGTTATATATAGTCACTCTTCATTGTTTGAATGTTGGAGTTTATCTCGCATGCTGTAGTGTAGACTAATTGTCTTCATTACTTGTTCTTGACTTCTTGGATATCCATAAATTGTACGGATCCATATAATTTCCCTTATGAAGTCATATAGGCTAATGTAGCTCTGCCATCATGTCTCATCTTCATAATGGGGTAATTCCGTTATGATAACAGTAGTGATTGTGAGACCACAGCAGCGTATATGACTTGAGTCAAATGATTCCATAATTTTTTTGACAGGATTTCATACGTACATTTGTTGCTACTCTATGTGCGTATGTTTTCTAACTTGGTTGTGTCAGGTAAATGAAGCAAAACGAAAGATCGAGGAACTAAACAAGGATCAAGAAAGGTTGGTTGACATTTTTTCAGAGGAGCGGCTTCGACGTGATGCAGAAGAGGAAAGTTTGAGGAAGAAATTAAAGGTCCAACCCCTCAATAATCCCATCTTACTATGAGAAAATTGTTGATTTAATATTGTAACTTATATGTGTGCCCATTATTAGTTATGCTGCAGATCATATCTTATGACTAATAATTTTGCTCACATTAATGACTACCAGAATTTACTACCAATAATAGTTGCAACACTTAACTTTTACACTAATCATATATTCCACTTTGACTACATATTTTATTAACTAATGTTTAAAAGATTATATTATAAAAAAACTTATAAATTTTGTCTCAAAAGTAAAATTTCAAAATATGATTTTTTTAATAGATTTTACTATTACCCAATTAATTGTATTAATGGTTAGAGATATGTATTGTCATTCAACATGATGCAACTAAATAAGAACAAAGGTAGTATTTTTGTTGAAAAATGTCATGTCAGTGCACCTTTTGAGTTGACTTTTCCAACAGTGAGTGAAGTTAAAGAACTAATATTTGACAAACACAAATCAGAGAGTAAAACATCATAAGTTTCCTGTATTATTATCATTACTACTATTTGTGGATATATAGAATCATCAATGGGATGGATGGATATCTTCTTTGCTAATGATTTGTCCTTTGCTGTGCTTGCAGGAAGCCTCAAGTACTATCCAAGATCTGCTTGATAAAATTAAGCGGTTCGAAAGAAAGTGATGGTAGGAATCTGATGGGTGGTGCTCTTTGCTATAATGTACATCTTCTGTTCATACTCCCACACTATGTCTTCCAGTGTATAGGCAGTCATTGCAGTAAGGATGGTGGGGGTTTGAATGATTTTTCCCACTTTTAGATGTATTATTGTTTTCTCTCTGTATCATCAGTGTAGGATTTGCCCGGTGCGTGAATGTGTCATTTTATGACTCCACAATATCACAACGAAGACAAGCTTTGTAATTCAATATTTCAGTGTTGTGAGGATAGTTGTTTGTAAGTTGAAGGTTTCGTATTTACCCCGTCTTATTGTCCCAATTTCCTTCTCTTTATGTGATCTAACATAAACATTGAAAACGATGAAAGTTTTTATACCTTCATTGGACGGATGAAGATATTACTACTTTTTGTGCGTGTCATCCTTGTGACTTGTGTGGTGGTCATGCTAATCGTTCCAATTTTATGGGATGTCCCTAAAGGGACACGATATTACTACTTTTTGTGTACCAAAAGTCAAACGGATCTCCCATGTCCTAATGGCATATCCAAATAAAACAGTCCTTCCCATAAACGGCATAAAGTGAAACAACACTCCTCAAGTAGGCCTGGACTCGGGCGGGGCGGCCCGGCCACTGTAGCAACCGGCCCGGCCCGGTGGCCCGGTCCACCGGCGGTTCGGGTCGAACCGGCCCGGTGGTTCCCGGTTCCGGGCCCGGGCCTTCCATATGGTGAACCGGCCCGGCCGGTTCGGGCCCGGTCCGGGCCGGAAATATTTTTTTTTTTTTTTTTTTTTTTTGAAAATTTTTTAAGTTTTGGGTTATATTAGGTATTTTGGTCCATTTGAGGTGGTTTGGGGTTGAGGAAGAGGGGTAAGGGATTAAATAAAGAAGCCAAAAAATTAAAAAAAAAAAAAAATAGGGCGGGTGGCCCGGCCCGGTCTGGCCCGGAACCGGCCCGGAACCGGCCACCCCCGGTTCGGGCTCGGGCCTTAATATTCTGAATCGAGGCCCGGCCAGGCCCAGGCCCGAGGCCCGAACCGGCCCGGTTCAGTCCAGCCCTATCCTCAAGTAGTCAAGTCCTCGACCATTTCTACTTGTCTTCATCCCTAGGGATGGAGGCATGGAGCCGGTCCGCCCGGCCCGCTACTGTGCAAGACCGGTCTGGCTTGGGTGACCGGCACCGGTACCGGGCTTAGGCCTGACCTGATGGCTATTCCGGGGGTGGGTCTGGGACTTGAAAATTGTGGACCGGCTCAGCCAGTCCGGGCTTTTTATTTTTTTATTTTTTTTGGGTTTTTTGGGTTTGGGGTGGGTTTAGCTGGGCTGGGCTGGGTTTTTTCGAGGGGTTTGGGGGGGGGGGGGGATGGGGGGTGGGGGTTGGAATAAATAACAAAAAAAAAATGAACTGGCCCGGAATCGGCCCAGCCTGGAACCAAAAGACTCCTAGGCTGGTCCCGGGCCTTACCCATAAAAAACCAAGCCCGATCGGGCCCAGGACTGAACCGGAACTCGGTCCACACCTATTCATCCCTGTTCTTTGACCGATTTCCTAGTTTCTACACATAATTCAGATTTCTCAGATCAAAAACTTGAATTTGCTATTGCTTTTTTAAGAAATAATTGGATTTTTTAAAGTATAATTTGGATACAAAAAATAGAGGATGTAAAGAATGCAACTCTCATCCAAAAAGATTGGTTAACTATTTCACGATGAGGATACATGGTTCATACATGATACATTCATTAGTTCTATACTTCTATTAAATCAAACGCATCTAGATGAAGAATAAGCATTTAATTAGCATTATTTGAAAATAAATGAAATAAATGCATACAAACATTAAAGGGATAACATTCTATATGAAAAGCAACAAATAACATTTTATCAAAAAAAATAATGTGAAATAAATGCATTGTAACACTACAGAGTAGACATTCTATATGAAAACAATGTCTGGGTGAATCTATTTTCCTGCATTCATTTATAGATGTAAAAAAAATCCTTAACATCTACTAAGTGAATGTCACGTGAGTAAAAAGATGCACCCTTAGCCTTGGGGAGAGGTCAACCATCTACAAGAAAATCACAAAAATATTATCTAGTACAGTTCAGTTTGGTTAAGGTTGGCAGCCAAATTCTGCTGACATAGGTAGTTTAGTGTCGAATATGACTTCTTCAGAGTGCCCCATTTTAGATACTATATTAAATGTACTTCGAACACAAGCCACAAGTAAAGAAACATGATTAAAAATTCAGGAACAACCCATACAAAGAGACCTATACAAGCTATATTAGCTTCGGATCAGGAACTGCCCTACTTGCCCATTGTTCATGCATCCCTTTGAAGATCACAGCACCACCAGAGTAAGCTGTATGATTCCATGGGTGATGATGCATTTCTATAACTCAATCCTCACCTCCCTGATCTTCATCCTCTTCATCTCCACTCATGTCATTTATTGCTTCGGTAATTATAGCCTTCACCTCTGCTTTTCTGGGCTTGAAATCCACTTCAAAGTGGGACCCTATAAGCGAACCAACATTTTTAGTTAAATGGCACTGTTCATAATCTGTTTTCTTTTCAAGCATGATCTAATATAGCATGACAAATTTGATGAAAATCGTACCAAGTTCCCGGATGATATCATTTAGGGTTGCCTGCATTTTCAAACACAAAACTTAGACCAGGCTTTAATGGCAAAGCCAAACTATTAGAATGATTATCATCTTCACCATCATTATCAGAACATTTAGTTCATCTTTCATTTATAATTAATCGCATTGTCTTTAAGAACTCTCTATACTTCTTTATTATTATCATTATTATTTCAGAAGTTGCATAATGCGTCCCTACATAAGACTAATTAATGTCATGCTTGAAAAGTAATGCCAATAATGTGCCATGTTAAAGCCTAGTGATGCCAAAATATGGCAGTAAAATTTGAGGATGGCACTATTCCACTAAGTTAATCCTATTTAGGAGAGAAACAAAATACTCCTATTTTGAAATCTTACACTTTATTTCTACTTCGCAAGATTTCGCTTGTTATTTTAAATTTAGGCCAAAAATGCAGAATTAGACTCAAGTAAGGTTTATTGTTTTACTTCTTTCTTTCTCCAACAAAGTCTCATTTAAATATTACAAAACTGGACAGTTACAAATAGTGAAATATCTCAAAAATAGTCTCTATTGTGTTTTCTTTTAACAAATATGAAGACGAATTTACTGTATCATTTCTATATCGTCCTTTACACAAATCATCTGCAAAATACTGTTGCACCATGTATTAAACAACCTGATACTTGCCAAATACTCCGTAAAAGATACAAGAACACATCTAAAGTCTAAGACTACTCCTGCTAAACTTTTAGAATGAAACTTAAAATCTTAATGTGATAATTGGCAATTCACAACAGGTCTGTTCTAATGACCACACATTTTGCGACATATAAAACTTTGAGGTACTTTTTCTATGTGGTTAAACTTTTCTAATGAAATGCACATTTGAATAGGGTACGTTCAAAACAACAAAGATTTACCTTTTCAAAATCTGCACCCTTCAGAATGTTCACCGTAGCAGCATATATCTCTTCTTTGTTGGGCTCTGATTTTTTAACCTTCCCTTTTTTTGGTTTCTCTATAAAACGAGGAAAACAGTTGTTCATTGTCTATACTAGATGTGCATGTTACATCCTACGATGCTCAGAGTAATATTCTAGGTCTAATTAATAAGCAAACAATTAAGGCTTGCCTGGCAGCTTCTTTTCAGAAGAAGAAGCCTTTTCAGCTGCAGATGCATTTTTGTCATCCCCTTCACTGTCTTTTTCAGCCTTCCTTTTCTTAGAAATGTGGGCCTCAGGATCAGTTGATGGAGCAGCACCTTTCTTCGCAGCTGGAGTGGAAGACTTCCCTTTGGTGCGTTTATTCGAAGTTTTAGAAGTTTTGACAGGGATATCCGTATCCCCGGAGCCTTTCTCTGGAGTGATCTTTTCGTCATGATCATTCATGGAGGATTCTTCTTTGTCCTCTTCTTGTTCCGTGTCATCTGAAACAGTCCCTTCATTATCGCTTTTTTTCTTTGCATCTTCCTCCTGCTCAGACTCATCACTAGGGGAGCTACTTTCACCATCTTCGCTGTTTTCTGATGATTGCTTCCGTTTCTTTCCAACTGGGCTTTTCTTTTTCTGCTTCAAACAGTGTTTCAAAAAACAAAATGATGATTGAAGAATCGGAATCAATTGTGCAGAAGCACTAGAATGTTGGAAACTAATAAAAGAGAGCACCTATGAACTGAAGTTCGAAAGAGATTTCATTAAGTTTAAGTTTTCTTGGGAACTAGTATTTGTGGTCAATGTAAAATAAAAATAGTAACATGCTTAGCCACTCTGTTAACCTGGACCAATAGAGAGAGAGGGGGGGAGGGAGGGACCATATTTTTAAGACATGCACATAAAATGGACCTTTTTTTTCAAGTTATTGAGCTTTAAATTCAACCATATGACTAACCTTTGCAGCTTTTTCTGCAGTTTCATTGGTAGATCGTTTAGTTTTTTTAACCTTGCTCCTTCGACTCTTTTTTTTCTGGAACCATCAAAAATATGACATATATTAGACTTGGTTTTAAAAATTGAATAGTCACATCAATGATCCCAAAAAGGAGCAATTGAGGTTAAATGAGAGGTACCTTTTCCTTCTCAGCGAGCAACTGATCTGTAGTGCTATGAGGAGATTCCAAAAATTCTAACAACCTCACAGTAAGCTCTTCCTGCTATGTTAAAACACTGGGGGTAATGGAGTGCATTGAGTAGCCGAACCAATGAAATTAAAGCACAATACATCACCTTCTTTGATGAAGATTTAATGGAGGTAACATTGAGAATATCACAAAAATCTAGCAACTTTTCTTTCACACACTTGTCAAGCCTATCTCGGACCTTTCCCTTCTGCTTTTCATGCTGAAAGAAAGATATTCATCAAAGAAAGCTATGATTTGGTGTGTTCCTTTAAAATGATATATATATATATATATATATATATATATAGAGGACTGCTCAGGTCCCTCCGGAGGGACGGGAGGGACCGTCCGAACTTTACTGTTTGGGGCGGTTCCCGGTGGAATTTTTTGATAAAATTTTTTGAGCATGTTCCTCATCAAGTCTAGTTTGTCCATACCAAATTTCAGCTCAAAATTCGACCGGGAAGGCAGTCAAATAAATTCTTGAAACTTACTGCACTTTATATATGCGCAGAATGTGCAGTAAGCTTCAAGAATTTATTTGACTGCCTTCCCGGTCGAATTTTGAGCTGAAATTTGGTATGGACAAACTAGACTTGATGAGGAACATGCGCAAAAAATTTCATCAAAAAATTCCACCGGGAACTGCCCCAAACAGTAAAGTTCGGACGGTCCCTCCCGTCCCTCCGGAGGGACCTGATCTTTTCTGTGGGTGTGTGTGTGTGTGTGTATATATATATATATATATATATATATATATATATATATATATGATCACATGTGAGAGTGGTAAGCAAAAAGCTACAGAAAGTAAAATTCATATACCTCATCATCAGCCCAAGTGTAGCCAGAAAATTCACCTATATTTTTCTTCAAGTTGCGTGCCTGAAAATAGAGGGAAGAAAATTTTGGGGATGTAAGGGTAAGAAGTCCTATATATCCTTGGAGGCAGAAATAATTGGTGCAGAGTGAATAGGACCTTTGCTTTCTTTCCATAAAGAATGGTGTGGAGTATCTGTAGGTTCTCATCAGGTTTCCTCTTGGATAACTTATAAGCCACTGTAGTGATCAAAACAACACATGAGTTCAAGGATGTTTGAAATCATATACTATGTATATAGGTGTGACGTTTAAATAGTCAAGTACAGTACAAGTCTACCATGTATGTCAAATTCACTATAGAAGTTAGGATGCAATGTGGAGAAGATAGGATGAGACACTGTATTTTAACTATTTTGTAGTGTGGGATGATTCTGTAGTGGGGTGTGGGGTGTGGGATTTCCCTCTATTTCACTACATAGGATAACACACGCAATGTTGTGACGGCTTTACATTAAATTTCAGACAAATTATCAACTTGGGAATGCAAACACTGTAAGAATCTCTTCTAAACCATGTCTTCAGTAACACTCAAAATAGTAAAGAACTTTGTATCTTCAATTTCAAGGCCTAGTATCCATATGCACAGAAAAAACCCATCACCAGGGGGTACAAAGCACGAATGAAGCCAGTATCAATGCTACAGAAGGCAGATAAACGTAAAAACAATACCATTTGGGATCTCCTTGAGCTGCATTCCTCGACCCTACATTTAAACACAGATACAAGTGTTCATCAAAAGGACAAAGAGACTTGACATTATGCTAGAGTAAGCAAAAGTAGGGCTTGATTTTGGAAAACAATCTTTCTTTATATTAGAAGAGGGAAATGCATTGCACATAAAATCCACAGGAGATAGTGTCCTAAAATGTATGACTCATTGAGTAACAAACCATAGTAGGCAAAAATGGGGGGAAACAAAGTACTCATGTCATTTTCCCTAATGTGTAATCCAATTTAGGAGTTTCACAAGAGAATTTCAAATTTATAGCTTCCTGGCCAAATAGGAACTGATCTACATGTCACAAGAAACAAGATATGAATGACTTTAATTTTATATGTACAATTTATATAGCCAAGTGTACTAGCTAACGGGTTCGGATTCAGATGAAATTAGGATTTAGGAGATTCTAAATTTCTGAGTAATAATTATATAAACTCTGTTCGAGAACTCATTAGTATTACGGCCCTGTGTTAGTTTAAGAGTGAGTCATTCACTTCTTTTTCACTACCCCTGAAATTAGGCGTGCTCATCTCAATGTCCCAATGTGTTGTGTTATAAGTTCTTGTGTTATAAGCCGATAATTACAAGCGAATGCCATGTCTTAATCTAATTCAACTCAAGTTTTGTTAAAACAAAATTCAACTAGGCTCACCAATACATACTTTCAACACAATATCTTCATAATAAATATATATTCTATTAACATCTGTTACTTCTTGGTACATTATAAACTAGGTTAACCTCAATATAAACAGAATAGAAAGAGTTGCAATGCAATACACTCGCAAGTTCAACTGGGAGGTCTATCAAACACAATAATTGGTTGTAAATTTGGCCCGGCACTGAAGTACAAAAGCATAAAGGAAAATAGATAAAGACGACAGGTAACCTTCTCAATGGAAAGAGATTTAGGGGCAGCAGAAATTGGGGGAGAAGACACATAGAAGCGATCCACCGTCTTCCTATCCCTGGTAGGCCTCGTACTCGTACTGGGTGTTGCTGGGGATGACGATGCTTCCGTTTTCTTGCGGGCGCTTCTCTTCTTGCTCACACTTCCCCCTCCCTTTCCTTCCTTTACATCATCATCTTCCTCTTCTTCTCCAGACTTTGCAGCTTGACTATCGTCTGATCCTTCTTCAGCAGGACGATCGTCTTCCTCTTCCCCAGAATCCGCATCTTTTGGCCCCTCCTTACCATGTGCAGATTGCTTCACTTCTTCTTCTGCTGTTTCTTTCACTGATGCCATAGATGAAATCTGATGAACTATTACAGTCTTGACGAGAATGATATGCACTGCGTGCTTGGATTGATTGATGAGTATGGGCAGTATAACAAGGTTATAGATGGGGAGAAGATCCGAATTAAAGAGGGGTCAAGGCAATTTAGGAGGGAAAATGCGGGAAACCCACTAGCGCCAAAATTTGTGCGCGGGATCTATATGCTCTTTTTTATAGTTTCCCACTTTCCGCCCCTCTCATTGGAAATTGTAAATTTGGATTTTTGAATTACATAAAAGAAAATAGGAAGAGTATAGGAAAAGTATAGGTTGTATCAGGGTATGGTTGAATTATGTAGAAGCGACAAATATAAATATAATCACAAAGTAACTACTTTAATGGAAAAATGATAAATTTTTGGGATAATCAAAAAGAAAAATTGGTGGCTTCAAAAAAACAAGTTAGTAAAATTAATGGAATGAAAAGAGGATAAAAATTGTGCAGACAATAATCTTCTAGTAAGTGTGAGTGCTCCAAGTGATTTACATGTTTAAGATCATTCTGTTGTGTAAGTCTCGAGTGCAAATCATTTTGGCTTATTGAGAGGATTTTCTAATGGTCGCACAATCAATGTAATTTATGAGTTAATTTTTGTTGGAAATAACCAATCGATGGAGTGTTCTCGGAGACTGTGCTGGAAACCACGTGGAATTAATGACTAAGAGTGTTTTATCATGCACAGTATCATATAAATGAGCATTGATAATCTAGTAAATTATTCTAAGTGTTTCGGAATTACTTTTCTCCTAACGATGGACAATATCATTTGCGATGTCATTATTGACTTGCTTGAATGAGTACTAATTGACTATCGCCAAATCTCATGGCATTTAAACTTCAAATGCTCTTTGAGAAATTAACAATGGAAAGTCCACATACAGTGATTAAATATGATCAAGATTCAAATAGATTTTATATTTACTTTTATCTCTCATTCCTAGCTTATCTTGGGAAATCACATGGTTCATATTAGTTCTCGTTTCCAACAAACTTTTAATCTCATAATTTTCACTTTTTTAATTCTTATCACAATTATAAATAGAGGGAGAATTTTGTACTCCCTCCGTCCCAAAAATAACTTCACAGTTTGACAATCACACAGATTAAGAAAATAAATTTGACTTTACTGTAGAGTACACTGTTTTGCACTGTTTAAGCACTGTTTGGCACTGTTTAGCACTTTTTGATGTAGATAATTTGCCAAATAAGGAAAGTATTGAAGTGTGAAGTTAATTTTGGGACTTCCATTTAAGGAAAGTGGGAGGTTGTTTTTGAGACAGAGGGAGTAATCATTGAATTAGTGTATTAATTATTTTATTACTTTTGTAAAGGACTCCAAATAGGAGCAACCATCGTCAAAAACAAAATAAATTACGCATTTCATCTAGACACGGATGCCAAGGAGAGGCTAGGTGGGACCTTAGCCCTCCCAAAATAAAATCATGTCTATAAATCGATAATATAAAAACAACTTAACAATTATTTTAAAAAAAATAGATTAATGCATAAAAACCATTGAGAAAAACGCCGAAATTTTGTGTGGTAACTAATATGTGCATACTAAAGGATTATACATTGAAGCCACGTTTTTTCAAATTACAAGTGACAAATATGTAGGATTTATATATCACAAGAAGTTTGATGAATTAATTATAAACCAATAATTTTAACCTTATCTCACAATCAACAAAACATTTTTTCGGTTAATTCCGATTTCGTCTTACTAATCATGGACTCCAAAAACTTATTCCAAACCCTTCAGAGAAGTAAATCTGAGTCGCTTGAACAATTCGCTAAATTCCCAGTGCACATAAGAAACCGCTTCGGGAAGAAGTGTCACCTATTGAGTATTGACCAAACAATGTTAGATTGTCATCAAGAAAATACAAATTGCTCTATGAAGATACAAAGTACTAATTGCACAACCAACCAAACTAGCCTCGAGACTAAAGAATCATCACTTAATAAATTCTTTCAAATTCAACCCAATTCTTTCAAATTCAACCCTTTTGCGACTCAACTCAAGACCTACTAGAATCGAGCCAAACCTTCCCATGAACTTTGTTTACCATTCGCGTGTGTTGTTGCAACCTACTGGGGTCGTATTTGAAGTTCTGCCCGCCTGTCTAACGACTGTGCCACTTTGAAACACTAACATTATACATAAATGAAAAGAACTAAACTCCACAAACATCAATAACTTGGAATGTTTGACGAAATAAATGAACATTACTTGAAAATAATAAACCGATAATTAGAGATCATTAAAGCAGACCCTGGTTGAGAATTGGGATCATTGTTGGCACATTTTCTTTTACCAAAAAACAAACACTTCCTCGTCCAATTTTCTAACTCAACCAATACCCGACATTCTTTTTATTAGGTTGAAGGGGGGAATACGTTTTATATATCTTACATTAAGTTGAAAGAATGGCTCATATCCTATACAAATATGGAATAAACTCAATATTAAGGAGAAAAGAAAGAAACAAGTACAACGAACAAAGTCATTTCGATATTTTTTGCATTATTTTGGTGACACGGCCTAGTGGTAAAACGGAAAATGGAAATCCTTCCCTTCCCAGTTCAAATCTGGGTTTCCCCTAATCAATAAAGTACTTGAAATATCTTCTCGTTGATAGGGTGTGGGGGGGAAGTACTCATCAAAAGCCACAAACAAAATGGGAATTGCAGAAATGAAAAATATAGGAAATCCAAAAATAAAAACTCATGCTGAGCTAGAACTAATTCAAAGGGTGGCAGGACAGGACTCATTCATTATCAGGAAGTCTCTTCTGGTTACTACTCTCACCCAGCAACTCACTCTCACTGTACAGATCCTTCTGAACAGGAATGTCAGTTAGCTTTTGTGATGATAACAACGCATCTGCAATAATCTTTCTTGCTGCTACTGATTCGTCTTCTTTTTCCTCCCCGCTGACATCTTTTTGTTCCACATCTGCCCCTTTATCTGTTTTAGGGGGCGGTACAAAGAACGGTATCTTTCCTCTCTGCCAATCATGGAGTACCATCTTTGCAGCTGTCATAACATCAGGTTCCCCACCCTGTGCCAACCAAATACAAAGTAATACACATTATATATATATGTGTGTGTGTGTGTTATCAATTTATCATTGCTCATGAATCAATATGTACTTATTTAAGATAATAAAAATTGTGATGATGATACACCATACTACAGTAGTACAGTAGAATAGATAGGTCCTGTTTAATTGGACTTGAATCAGCCCTAGACTAGGCTACTTAAAAATACCAGACCAGTAAACTGTGGTGCAAATGAACATGTCATCATACATCTACATTAACCCTGCCTTGCAATGTCCAGTCTACCAAGCTTAAGAAAATATTTAGACTTGCTTGTTATTTGAACATCAAGTAACCATTTCCTCTGACCGTACCTTTAAGAGTTTGCCTGTTGCCTGACATAGCTGAAGAAGAAAGTCATGTTCATCTTCCCTGCAAACATCATTGGGAGACTTAATTTCTGAAATAGATGCATTCACAAAGCCAGATGCACATAAAAATTACTTCGGAGCGAAAATGAATTGTTTCCCTACAATCATACAGAACCTAAAACAATATGGCTTTACATTGAAAAACTGGGGTTATGATGACACATATTCCGCCAGTATGAATTGGGATACATGCATCAGTCTCAAGATAGACTGTTGACTCGAAATAAATAGGGAAAGACATACAAAGGTCTTCTTTAAAAGTATATGTGACGATTCATGTTAGCTGGCCCCAAACTCTTTTGAGATTAAGGATTGGACGTTGTTGACTTGTTATAACAGAAGTCTTACCATTCCTTTATCTTATATGCTCTTTCGATATGTTCCTTTTTCACACGGGTTAGCACCTCACCAATGTGCTCAGAAGCATCTTGCAGGTTAGTCACACGAACCTGCCATAGAAAAAAACAAAACCAAATGAAACCTACTTGTTAGGCTCATCAAAAGATCATTGTGGATGTACACCCAAACGACTACAATTGTATCAAGTATCAACATATGTTTCTTTCACTAATTTAATTAAATATATTGAGTTAAATATAAAATAAAATGGCCAGGGGATCACACATACCACCCCCTTCAAGACAATATCTGTTTCAGAATCTTTACTTCCATAAACAACACCGGGGCAATCAATCAAGAAGATCCTTTTTGTAAGTGTAATATATTGCCATACTTTAGTCTCTCCCGGAATGGGAGCCACCTTGCAAACCTGTTTTTTATGGACAAATAAAGAAAAATAGTTAAACCATGGAACTCATGTAACAAGCTAGAACTTCAATAAAAAAACACCGAATGTGTCTTGTAAAAAATATGAAATAGCCAAGAAACTTTGGACTATTCCATACAAAATCAATGAAAGAGTTAAAAAACGCCATTCAAACTTTGCCCTATGATATAAGAGTAGTCATACATTCTTTGACCGAAGTGTGTTGATAACAGATGATTTTCCAACATTAGGATATCCAACAAAACCCACGGATACTGCCTGTTTGTCACTCTTCAACCGAGCAAACTGTCTCAATACTGACAGCAGGGGTCCCTACAACAACAAAATGGAAGCAGAGACAATTAGATGTTGATATTATCGTCAACTGAAAGGCAAAATTAAACTCCCTCTGTTTATTTTTACCTGCACATCAGGCTATCACATAGTTTAAGAAAATAAATATAGGGGTACTAAGTAGTCTTAAAAAAAAGTAAAAGGAGTTATGTTGTTCGATACATTTATGTGTGAACAACTGAACAAGTAATATAAAAACTTCTATGAAAAATAAGTGGAGAAAGTAAGAATACACAGAGGTAGTGCCGCAGCATATATATGCACATATACAGGATTTTTAAAGATGGCTTTTGACATTGGTAATCTGAAGCATGAAATCGTTGTTCAATACTACTGCCAGATTCTAGTTATTTATTTTACATTCGCATATGTGATATAATATAGGTTGTATAATGACCAAAGTAAGAGTAGTTATACTTTTACTGAATTACTAATGATGTTAATTTTGAAATTGACAACTGAAGCCACCTTTTGTGGTTTACACAATTATGCTTTTAGTTAATTAGAAACAAACAGAAACCAGTACGCACATTATGATACTGAATGAACCCTAAAATGAAGGATATATGTAACATTGGTGTCTACCTTGCCAAAGGACTTTGTGACGCTTGCATGGAATGCTATTGTTGGATATTCTTTGGACAGAACCCTTAGCCATCCACTAGTTGCCCAAGCCGGAACTAAATCACACTGTGTAAGAGTGAGTAAAAAATTAAATTGTTTGAACAAATTCTCAACTGCTAAGGGAAAGGAAAGATAAAACACATAAAATGTTAAAAATGCATGACATATCAGCAAAGGCAAACCTTGTTCAGGAGAAGGATCATATGTTTGTGCTTGCAGTTTTCTTTTAAATGCTTCTCCAAATGGTAACATCTTGTACCTTGTGGGTCTCTAGCATCTATTACCTATGATACCATTTCTGTAAGTACAGCTTCTTTCCTCAAATACTTCAATACCATCGTGTGGGACATGATATGACGGTTAACATATTAAAAACAGACCCATTGTGAAAAGGAATATCATGGTGTCATTGTTTTATACTACCTTCGTCCCACTAACATTGGGACATGAAGATGTGGCACGGTTATTAAGAAAAGTGAGTTTGTGTGGTTGATATTGAATTCATAAGTAAGAATAAAGAAAGAAGAATTAAGAGCCACACAAACTTTACCATATTTGGTATGGGACAATCTTAGTGGGACAGAGGGGGGTAATAACTAAAGGCACCTTATTTTCAAAATGTTTGTTATTTTACAAATCTAACTGCAACCGCAACTTCCAGGTGAAGCGAGCTGAGTCAACAGTTATGGATGCTCAACTTTACTTCATATTAAAAGGTAGTTGGAAACACAACAAAATACCTGAACAACAATATCAGAAGAGTCTATGACTTTGTATAGCTCGCCCCATATGCGTTTGCTTTGACCCTTTTCAAACATTGTATGTCGTACAGCGTCTCTAATCCCGTCTTCATTTTCTTCCATGTGGTTGCCTGCACCGTGCTTCTCTTCAAATGAATCTGTTGAAGGAGAGAACAAAGTCAATCCAAAACCGAATCCTGCCAATAAGTCCAAGTGCATGTACTAAACAAACTAGAAAATCGTATATTAAACCTTGAAGAACATCTGCCTTCTTTAACAGTGATTCGTAATCTGCTGCCATGAGCTTTGGCCGTTTCCTCTTCCCTTTAGGACCAAATGCATCAGCAAAAGGCTCAGTCTCAAGCAAATGCACCCTTGATTGCTTTACCAAGATACAAGGAGAAGAAGACAAATTTTAATAAACATGATCCATATACAATATTATATGAGTTTATCATATAGTCCATATAATGCTTTAATTTTGAAGCACAAACAAAGTGTCAGACAAAATAGTTAGCATGAAGCTACAGTCATGCTTAAAAGGTACTTAGAGGTGCTGAGTTCATTCTTTTCTAAAACTGCGAATGACCTGACAAGTTGATATGAAATGGCCCAACAACTAATACAGAAAACTAGCACAATTAGTAGTATGTGATGTGTCACGATACATGTAATAATGCAACTATGCACCATTAAGTGAATCATGATGTTCTAGATGGACATGGATTTGAACTAGCAAAAAAAAACTTCTGAAAACTGTTATTAGAGAGAGAGAGAGAGAGAAATCATTAAGTATCTTCTGAATCGTTCTGATGATCAATTAAGGTGAGAACAGAAAAGCAAATATATCACTAAACAATACGCACCAAGCACATGTACAGACCTACCCTTAACTTTTAATGGAATCATTTATGCACAAAAGAGTGAAACATTTGGCTCAGCATCCGGAGGCGGTATGCAGCATCCCATTAGTTTTATTTTAAAATTTTATAAATGTATTTTGGCCTCAAACTTTTAAATTTAACAGATCAAATTAAGTACTCTCTTCGTCCCTTAAAACTTTGCCAAGTTTGACCGGCACGGGAATTAATAAAGTAAAAACTTTGTGATTGAGGTTTGTGCAGAGGAGAGAGAATTAACTAGAACCACAATTTTTTTACTTAAAAGGGAAAGTTGGCAAAGTTTTAAGGAAGGGACGGAGTATCTTTTTATATTGTTTCATTTCCTATTTAACATCAGTCTTTGCATAAGCAATATTATTAAAAAAGTTTGACGAATAAAGAAACAATAAAATGCCAGTGATAAATATGAGAATATTTAAAGCGCGTTCATTTTTTATTCGGGACAATTTGTTATGTACAATATAACAAATTAAACATGTTTTATGATCTTTGTGAAACACAAATTAGTTAATGCGCTAATATAAAGTAATGGCACTCTAGAAATAGGGTCATCGTTGGTTTCTCCCAAAAATAGGATTTGATAATCTTAGAAAAAGAAGTATTGACTGTATTTATTCTTTCTTTAGGAAAGGATGAATCATATCTTTAGTACAAAACATGGAAGATCCTATTTACGAATACAACTCATGCTTTACCGCTATTTACAATTACCTCTTTAAATAAGTTGGACATGTTTTTATATATCTTATTCAAAAAATAACATAGTCTTGTATATTGCATTGTAGATTTGTGGTGGTATGGAATACAACAACAACAACATCCAAGCCTTAGACACAAAAGAGTTTGGGGTCAGCTAACATAAATAGACACATGCAATCGGAGTTAAAAAGATAAAAATATAAGACAAGATAAAAAAAGATACAAAGATAAAGAAGATAAGAAAGACAAAATGAGATCATTCCTCCACACGTAGTATGACAAATCGTGAAAAATATCTAATTTGAGGTATTATTCATAAAAATTGAGTCCATGAACATTTTAAATTTAAAAAGACGTTCATTCTTTGAAGGGTTATTGGGGAGTAATATTTTTACTTTTTAGTTACTTTATTAACTTGGAATTTTACATATGAAACACAGGTACTATAGGAAAGACTGTATAATTCATTGGTATATTTCTCTCCCGTCATCTAGACTCTAATTGGATAGAGTAAACTTAATGAGCTTTAGTGAACCTAAGTTTCATTCAAAATTAGGTGAACATAGAGTTCATGCGCAAATATAGTTTAGATTGTTTTACATGGTGGATGTGGTAAATGTTGATTGGAGACTTTCCAAAAATGGGTGTGTTAAACCTGGGTTTTCTGAAATCCCACATTCTAGTGAACCCATATTTAAACTAGGAGGAATATAGGTTGAAAGAAACAATGGTAAAAGAGAGAAGAGCAAAGAGAAATCTTTAAGTACCTTTTGATGATCATTTAAAAGAGACAAAGGCAATTTCTTGTCCTGCAAAATTACGTTGTAGCTGCTAGACATCTTACTTTGCAATTCTTCACGGAAAAACTCTAACTGTTTCTGATTTACTACTCGTGTATTGCCTACATAATAATGATGATGTCAGAAAAGAAAGCTCCACAGGTTGCAAAGTAAATACAAAAAAAGAGAGATGAATAGGCTTGTTTAAAAATTGTGCAAACAAAAAACCCCAAGTTAGAAATGTAGAATACTAAGCAGTATATAATGCATACACAACCTCAAAAAGCTGAAAGTTAAACTGGAATGAGAGAACCCACCGAACCATCTGCGATCTGGTTCAATCCGAGTGGAGGGAAGTTCCTTGGATTGCAAGTCGTGTTTTAACACTTTCCCCTTCTTGTCACGCTTAGGCCTAGTCTTGTACATCTTAATCCGCCGCACAGTGGCTGCGCTGCGGCCGCCCTTAGTTCCGCTGGCATCTCTATTGACATCGAGGGAATGCTTGGCCTTCCCAGATACGTTGACCGACTTTTCCTTCTTCTTCGCCATGTCTGTGTTACATAAATGTCTGTGTTACTGTGTGGCTTGACAAATAGAAGAAAACCCTAAGCATCTCTATCTCTCTACATATAAAAGCTGGACCGCCTGGGATAGCTATTCCCGTACGCAGGCAAGGCTGCCGGCGTATTGGTTGGTCATTAAATTACAGCTTATTACAACTCCTTAATTTAGAAAATTATTCATCCTTTAACTGAAATAACAGATAAAGAACGAACCTCAATAACACTGTCTAAGCTTGTTCCATTCACTGCTGATAAGATATAAAAAAGATATGTGCGAAGAAACAAAACAGGATGCGATAAAATAAGAAGACAGTTAGTGATAGTCGGCTAACCTCGGTCGGGATATTAGACGAAGAGGAAGCTGCGTTCTACTAAGAGGAAGAAGAGGAGCTGGAAACGGAGAAAGCAATATAGCTTACGACCGGAATCACCGAATAGAAACGGTATACCTACAACCGGAAGTATGTTGGGCATGTGATTTTCTAATTGGACTGGATCAAACATTTGGGCCAATAACTTTAAATCATTTTATTTGGTAGATTTTAAATTTTACTACACACACTTTCTCTTTTTTGTAGTTCAACAAACTGTACAACGTTTCCTTTTAATTAAAGAATATCTAGTTCATGTTAATTCCTTCTATTCTATACAAAATTATACCACATACGTAGTAGTTTTTTATTTATTATCTCCCATGCATATTAAATTTGGCCAAATTTTAAGGGAATATGATGGAATATTTTTTAGTATCCATTTTTTGCAACATTGAAATTGATTAAATGGATTGAATTATTGAAAATCATCAAATTCTAGTTGAATTAACCAACTTCACTAATTTGAAGAAAGATTATATTTAAATATTGTTTAATGATACATAAAGAAAAACTTACGGTGCTAAATATTTCCTTCTAATAATAATAATGATATATTATACATTGTCAATATTTAAATATCATGGTGGGGGGGGGGGGGGGGACATTTTAAATAATAATAGTTGAAAACGTGAGAGAGAACCGTAATAATCATATGCATAATTGACGACTAATAATGAGACTTATAAACCTCCACATTGTTTCAAGTGACATCTTTTCATTGTCCTAATGTTATAAATCTGATTACAACATTAATTCTAATTAGTCATGGATCCGGGTCGGATCCGGGTCGGGCTAGGCCCGGCCGGGCTTTTGATGTTTGGGTTGAAGGCCCTGGACCGGCCCGGGTTAGCACCGGGTCCGGGCCAGGACGGGTCCAAGTATTTTTTTCTTTTCTAGTTAACCCCCACCCCCCTCCAACCCCCCACCCCCCCAAAAACCCAGCCCAACGCAGGAAAAAGCCCAAAAAGTGGAAGAAAAAAAATTAATTAAAGACCCGAATCGGGACCGGCCGGGCCGGTTCCAAAGAGTGGGCTGCACCGGTACCGACCCGCCTTAACCCCTGGGACCGAGCCTATGCCCGGAACCATAACCAGTTCACCGGGCCGGGCCGGGCTCGCAAAGTAGCGGGCCGGGCCGGTTCCCGGGCCGAGTGACCCGACCCGAGTCCAAGACTAATCATAATGTTTCAAGTGACATCTTTTCATTGTATTGAGACGTATATACCTCCACATTGTTTAGAGCTTAGAGCATCTTTAATGGTAATGTGGATATAGCACATAAAAAATGTACATATCGTTAACATCCACGGTCAATCTAGCATTCTAGCTCACATGGACAAACAATCTATTAATGTCAAATTTCATCTCCAATGGAACTGTGGATGTGAATAGATCTGTGTGAGGCTGAAATTTGCAATTACCAAGTGGGGCATCAGGCACTCTAAGGCCTCGGTGGCCTACCCGCAGGCCAACGGCCAAGTGGAGAACATGAACCGGACCATCATGGACGGGATCAAGAAGAAGTTGGAAGACTACACCTCCACCTGGCCGGAGCAGCTGAATTATGTCTTGTGGACGTACAGGACGACGCCAAGAACGGCGACTGGGGAAACCCCTTTTGCCTTGGCTTACGGATTCCAAGCTAAGGTACCGACGGAGGTGCTGGTGCCTACCCATCGCACCAAGCACTTCCAGCCGGAGGACAACGAGATCAACCTACGAGCAGAGCTCCATTTCATCGAGGAACGGAGGGACCTAGCGGCTCGTCGCATGGAAGAGTATCACAGGGCCACCCAGAGATACTTCAACAAGGCCGTGAAATTCCGCGAAATAGAGGCCGGGGACCTCGTACTCAGGAAAAGAGAGAAGAGCAAGCCGCTCGAAGGCGGCAAAATGGCGAAGAACTGGGAAGGACCTTACCGGATCATCAGAAGATATAACCAGGGGACGTTCCTCCTCCACACCATGGAGGGGAACCATGCCGGGATGTGGAACGTAGAGCACTTGAGGAAGTTCTATCAATAGTTAGGGGCTGTTGTCCTTGTATTATTCCCACTACCATGTAAAATGGCCGGACGTCGTCAATAATAAGGCCCCTGTTTTTTCTGAAATTCTGTTCTCACCAACGACCGATAAAGAAGGGAATCTCGATGCAGATAAACCTGTTCCTCCTTGTGATGTCTGCGGATACCGAACGTCTCTTCGAAGTAGGGACGCCGGTAGGACCAAGGACCAAGGACGAACGAAGCACCAGGGAATCTCGATGTAGATAAACCTGTTCATCCTTGCGATGTCGGCGGACACCGAACGTCTCCTCGAAGTAGGGACGCCGGTGGGACCAGGGACCAAGGACGAACGAAGCACCAGGGAATCTCGATGCAGATAAACCTGTTCCTCCTTGTGATGTCTGCGGATACCGAACGTCTCCTCGAAGTAGGGACGCCGGTAGGACCAAGGACCAAGGACGAACGAAGCACCAGGGAATCTCGATGTAGATAAACCTGTTCATCCTTGCGATGTCGGCGGACACCGAACGTCTCCACGAAGTAGGGACGCCGGTGGGGACCAGGGACCAAGGATGAACGAAGCACCAGGGAATCTCGATGCAGATAAACCTGTTCCTCATTGAGATGTCGGCGGATACCGGACGTCTCCTCGAGGTAGGAACGCCGGTAGGACCAGGGACCAATGACGAGCGAAGAGTATGGATTGCCCCCACCAAAAAAAAAAAAAAAAAAAGAAAAAAAAAGAAAAATTGGGGAGAAGAGGAGAGGAGCTCCTATGTAAAAGGGAATCTTGCCCGGGTGTGCCAGATCTTCTCCAACCGCCGAAGACGAACGCCTCTCGGTGTAGAGGTTAGTAGAGACGCGGAGGGGGCTAGACGAACCAAGGGAGCCTGCCAAGATAAACCTGTTTATCCCACAAACGACCATGGATCGATGGACGTGGGGTAACAAAATCGGGGACCCGTGAGGGTAGACCTGTTCGTCCCTGCGAGTCCTTGGGTACCAAACGTCCTCTTCGAAGCAAGAAACGTCGGTAAGGCTAAAAGGACCACGGACGAACGAAAAAAGGGGGGAATCTCGATGTAGATAAACCTGTTCATCCTTGTGATGTCGGCGGACACCGAACGTCTCCTCGAAGTAGGGACGCCGGTGGGACCAGGGACCAAGGACGAACGAAGACTAAAAGACTCCAAAAAAAAAAAAAAAAAAAAATGCCTGAAGAGCAAGGAGCAAAGAATGACTCTTTTTTATTCTTCGGCACTATTGGCCGGGAAATTACAAGACAATGAAAATAGTGGGAAAAATTGTACAAGTACAAGGTCATGAACAGAGAATCACTGTCGATCGACGTCCGGAGCTGGAACTTTGGAAAGAGCCTGCTTGCATTCTTCACTAGCTTTGGCTTCCGCCTGCTCTCTCAGCAGCTCAAGGGCTCCCGCATGGGCATCAGCCATCAGGACGTCGAAGCCAGCCGCCTCCGGATCGAAAGGAGCCCCGAAATGACGCTCGAACGTAGGGAGATTCTCCGCTACGAGCCCGACCATGCCCTTACGATAGGTATCATCGGCGAGATCATCAAGGAAACGCCGTCCGGTGGGGGTGGCCTGGAGCAATTTGACCCCATCCAGGTAGGCATCCGGGCAGGTGGCTAGAAATTCTCCGACGAGCCTCGGGAGAAACTTCATGGCCATGGTGTGGATGGCACCAGTGTAAGCATTGGATTTCTGGAAGGCAATGGAACCAGACTCCTTGATTTTGGCAACATCGGCCTCATAAATAGGGACATGGTTGTCCATGCCCGTCTGGCGAAGCTCCACCTTAGCCTGCTCTACGGCCCACATCCGGCTGCGGAGATCCACGAGCTCGGCCTCCTGTTTCTTGAGGAGCTCCTTCTGAGAGGCATTTTCCTGAACAAGCTTATCATAGGCATCGGCCTTCTCTTGAAGAGTGCCAGCCCTGCCTTTTGCATTCCTCAGAAGGGCGTCGCATTCGGCCCGCACCCTGGCCATCTCCCTGCCTTGGTGCTCGAAAGCCATCCGGGCCCTGTGAAAGTAAAGCCCGGCCTTGTCCAAGGTGCTCTGACCGCACTCCAAGAGATCCTCAGGGGCCTCCTGAGCAGCGAAATCTTGCGGGACCTTGAGATTCAGCCCGCACCAGATGGAGGACGCTGTCTGGCCGAAGAGCATCATTGACTCTTTGCGGGGACCAACCCCGGAGAACTCAATCAGGCCAAGAGAAGACCCACTGGCTTCGGGGGGGAGAGGTTGGACGGGCGTCGTCAGAACCTCTGGCGGTTGTGGCATCATCATCCCGGAGACGGCGGACGTCGGAATTCCTCGGAGGAGAGGCACGGAGATTGGTCCGAGAAATGCGCTTCCGTTTGAGGGGACTTCCGGGCTCCCCATCAGAGTCATCGGCCACTATAATGGCCTTGGAGGCAATACCCTCGGCACGCAGCCTCTTGGAGGCGCCAGCTCCCGAATCATCCTCCGCCCGTGCCCTGGTCACCCGAGTCTCGACCTTAGGGACGAGCGGAGTCCCGGATTTATCACGTCCCTTGTGCTCACGGCCGGTGGCGGTCGAAGTGGCGTTGACTCGGCTCATGGCGGACGTGGATGGAAAAACTCCTGCACAAAGGGAACCAAGACGTTCAGAACCATAACAGCAGAGGGATGTTAAAACAATACAAGTGCAAACGGACGCACCTAATCCAGCCCGAGCTTTAAAGGGCTCGGCCACCAGCAACCGGAGGTTCTGGATGCCAAGTCCGGCTATGCGCTTGGCATATCCAAGCTCCTCGTCCGTCATGGGCGGCGGGATCGTCTTCACGGGGGTAAGCGTTCCACCGATCAGAGAAAGGCATCGGTGAGCCTACTCCAGCCAGGAAGAAGCGTTCTTCCCAACCGTCTGGATTCCCGGCATTGTTCGAGAATAGAACCATGGACGGACGGGCAATCAGGGTCAAATATCCCGTGCGTCCGAAGGTGGACAGACGGAAGAAGTAATGCAGCAGGTCCACGGTGGGGGTCACACCGACGCTGTGGCATCTGATGATGAAGCCAGCGATTATCCGATAGGCGGCAGGAACGAGCTGCGCAGGCACAATCTCAAGGGCCCTGAAA